GGCAGAGGGAGAAGCAGGCTCCCAAGGAGCAGGGAGCCCGATGTGGGACTCGATCCCAGGACCCTGGGATCATGACCTGAGCCGAAGGCAGACGTCCAACCATCTGAGCCACCCAGGCGCCCCAACACATGTTATTTCTTATCTTTTTGATACTAGCCATTCTGATACTTCATTGTAGTTTTGAATTGCATTTCCCTCATAATTAGTGATGTTGAACATCTTTTCATTTGCCTTTTGGCCATCTGTATGTCTTTTTGGGAAAGATGTCTATTCAGGTCCTGTGCCCATTTTTAAATTGGACTGTTTGGCTTTTTTGGTGTTGAGTTGTAGAAGTTCTTTATATATTTTGGATTTTAACTACTTATCAGATACGTCATTTGCAAATATCTTTTCTCATTAAGCAGGTCATCTATTGTTTTGTTGATGGTTTCCTTCACTGCAGTGCAAAAGAATTTTGGTTTGATGTAGTCCCAGTAATTTATTTTTGCTTTTGTTTCCCTTGCTTGAGGAGACATTTTTAGAAAAATGTTGCTAGTGTCCAAGAGAACACTGCCTATATTTTCTTTAAGGAGTTTTATTGTTCAGGTCTCACATTTAGGTCTTTAATCCATTTTGAGTTTATTTTTGTGGATGGTGTAAAAAAGTGGTCCAGTTTCCTTCTATTGCATGTAGCTCTCCAGTTTTCTCAGCACCATTGATTGAGGAGACTGTCTTTTAACCATTGTTTATTCCTGCCTCATTTGTTGCAGATTTATTAACCATGGAAACCTGGGTTTATTTTGGGGCTCTCTATCCTATTATATTGATCTATGTGTCTATTTTTGTGCCAGTACCATACTGTTTTGAGTACTATAGCTTTGTGAGTACTATAGCTTTGTAGTTTATTTTGAAATTTGGAATTATGGATACCTCCAGCTTTGTTCTTTTTCAAGATTGCTTTGGACATTTGGGGTCTTTTGTGGTTCTATAGAAATGTTAGGACTATTTGTTCTAGTTCTGTGAAAAATGCCATTGGAATATTGATAGGGATTGCATTTAATCTGTAGATTGCTTTGGATAGTAGGACGTTTTAATAATACTAACTCTTACAGTCGATGAGCATAGAATATCTTTCCATTTGTGTCATCTTCAAATTTCTTTCATTGATGTCTTATAGTTTTCAATATACAGGTCTCTTACCTCTTCGATTAAATTTATTCCTAGGTATTTGATTTTTTTTTTTTTTTTTGGTGTGATAGTAAATGGGATTGTTTTCTTAATTTCTCTTTCTGCTCCTCCGATATGGAAATGCAGTAGATTACTGTACATTGATTTTGTGTTCTGAAACTTGACTGAATTCATTTATTTCCAGTAGTTTTTTGGTGGAGTCTTTAGGGTTTTCTGTATATAATATCATGTCTGGAAATAGTGACAGTTTTACTTCTTCCTTCCAATCTGGATGCCTTTTTTTTTTTTCTTGTTCGATTGCAGCAACTAGTATTTCCATTACTATTTTAAATAAAAGTAGTGAGAGTAGAATACTGCAATAATGTTTGTTTTTCCAAGACTATATGTGGGTCTTAGATATAGATTTTAAATGGGGGAAGTTTATTTGATGTCTTAAATAATTCAACATTTGAGGTTCTGTTTTACTCATGATCTATATATCACAGCTTAATACAACAGTTATTAGTGTCTGGTGTCCTGATATCTGTGAGCCCACAGACTGCTACCTAAAGGATAACCCAACTTTAAACAGCGGCGGTTGATGTGGCAGGACAAGCACAGATTGGAGCCAGTCTACAGGCCATTGGTGTCCCCAGACTGTGGATAATATACCCATAGCTCCCTAGAATTGTGAGGATTGGACGAGACCTTGTGTACAAAGTACTCCACACAGTGGCCTGGTGTATAGTAGGCCCTCTCCCCCCATCTGTTAAAGGGAAGGGACTTAGAACACAGATGTCCTGATGTTGTTACAGTTTCTTTCTCTCTTGAATAATAGTATCACTTTACCAACTCTCTGTTTTTGGTAGTTTTGTCCTATTTGAAGTGTTTGATTTCATAATGGATTTAGTTATTTATCAAGTAAATCATTGGATTTGTTCCCACCAGTGATACCAAGAAGAAGCAGGGAATGAGGAAAAGGAACAACCATGAAGTGGAAGACGTGGGACCCACAAGTCGTAACAGAAAGAAGGCCAAGTGGGAGACCTTAGAGCCTTTGGATACAGGCCTGTCTTTGGCAGAGGATGAAGAGCTGGTGTTACATCTGCTCAAAAGTCAAAGCTAGATACTCCGTGCTCTTCTCCTTGAAACCTCTGGTCATGATTATGTGGACAAGAAATTGGAAAAACAAGTGGCTTTGGAACACTTAGGTGACATGAGTCCCACACCCAAAGGACCTTCCCTCAGACTGGAGCGATTCTATCTCTAAGCTTCTTTACAGGACATGCTTGCACTATCCCAGAGCAAACTCAGAGTGCAGGTGGATTATAAAATTTCTTGATCCCATTTTCCAGCATGTGTTCTGTTAGATTTTACCCATGAGTTCCTACATCTTATCATTGGAGATGCTTCCTTTGTTTTACTGGCAACTTCTGGAGACCTTGTTTCGTTGTTAGAAATTCCTATCTTGCTTACCACACAGAAATCTCTATGTACTGTAAAACAAAATTGCTCACAGTTTTGATGTATTTAATATCTCTAAAGAGACAGAGGATGGTGGACCAGCCCTGAGAAAAGAGTATTTTTGAATTGCGACGATCAATAATAAACATATTTCCTATAAAATATTAATGTTTTCATTGTGTTCAATAATATGAGAGCACTCTTGGGGGAAGGTTCCTGAGAGTAAAATGCTTGACCAATTCCTGACAGTGAGTTTTTCATATTCTGAAATTAGCCTTCCTAAAGATACCGTTTAACTTATAGATTTCATAGCCATTTTTGAAATCTATAGAAGTCCTGAATCTGAAGACTGTGATCCAAAACCAGTCCCTTAGTGAGCATCCAGCAGGCTGTAGGTCTTCTGTAAGAGCCTTGTTCAGCTCGCACCACAGAGCCCCACCCAGAGCCAGCTCCTCATAATGAGTAAGAAGTAGATCAAGCCAGAGCCTGTTTTTGGTTACAAATAACTGTCAGATTTTTTGTGGGGAAAGAAATCTGGGCCTTGGCATGCTGGTTTTACCATAGATTTATCATCCTCTCACTATTCTCTCCCTTGGCTCCTTCCCATTCCATGTGCAAACACAAGTAATTTTCAGTAACTGGTCCAAATCACTCATAAATCCAAGGAAGGGAATGTCCCACCTGGATATCCCAAAAACATTTCCAACTCAGCCGGAGTCCATATTGTCTCTGAAAAGTTTCTCCTACTTGTGCAATTGGTATCCCTCGTGGGCGACACCGGGAAACTCAACGACTCTCAGCCTCTCCCTTGACCACCCTTCACTGTGCTGGTTCTGTTGATTCTTCTTCATATGACTCTTCTACATGGTTTGTTCCCTCATCTTCCCAGCTTCTGTCTTCAGTCAAGTTCAGATTCTCCTCCTGACGTGCTCAGATCACACCAGTGACCTCCTAGCTGATCACGGTGCTCCAGCCTCCTGTTTCTCATTTCTCTAGCCGAGCCTTCCACGATGGCCAGAATTATCTGCATAGCACTGAGCTGAGTGTGTTTCTTCCTAACTGTTTCTTACTTCTGCTCTGGTGCTTATCATGCGCTGTTCCAGACATTGTTTATAAGCCTGTCGCCCCTGTTACATGACAAGTGTCTAGACCGTGCTTATCCATCCTGTGTACCCCCCAGAGCCAAATACAGCACCTGCCCCATAATGGATTCTCAGTAAATGCTTATGGAATTAATGAATAAACAGGAATAGTCTGAGACAGTTTGTTAAAAGGTATGTTGTAGTACATTGCATTGTCACCTCTGGTAGGAAGGATATAGAGTGATGAAATTAGAACTGGAAAAAATGGCTATTATGGGGAAGAATGACTATAGATGGGAAAGGAATTTAGGGTATAACAACGTGGGAAGATGTTGAAGATTCTGGTACAGGATCTCTTGGCCTTGACTATTTCCAAAGGACAGAAGGATCTAAGAGTATGTAAACTGAAGGTTTACCATTGAATTCACTCCGTGCGGTTTTGGATTTTGTTTGTTCTGACCCAAATGAGGAATTAGGGCAGTTTTATTACTCCGTATTTGTAAACATTGAATAAATATATTGCCCGGCCTTTAGTTCATAAACTAGTTTGAGTTGTATTCTGTCCCTGGAACTGAATGGATCCTGACTAATATATACATTGTAGGGGATTTTAGTTTGCTGGTTGTGAAAACTAATTAAGATATCAGACCAGTATTGGTAGAAATCTCAAGTAAACAACGCATGATAGATTTTTTTTTTTTTTTAAAGATTTTTATTTATTTGACAGAGAGAGATACAGCGAGAGAGGGAACACAAGCAGGGGGAGTGGAGAGGGAGAAGCAGGCCTCCTGCCGAGCAGGGAGCCCGATGCGGGGCTCGATCCCAGGACCCTGGGATCATGACCTGAGCCGAAGGCAGACGCTTAACGACTGAGCCACCCAGGCGCCCCCGCATGATAGATTTTGTTCAGTGTTCTTGTGTTATTTTTCAGCAAATATGCACTGCACCCCCCACCCCTTAGGAAAAGCGTCATTTTCCCCTTATGCTCCTGTTGGGCCTGGCCCTGTGACTTAGTGTTAGCCCACGTGGAATGTGGTGGAAGCGGCCCTGTGCCTGTTAGAAGCAGAGATTTGAAGGTGCATTGGCCATCAGCCCTCTACCTTGAGACCAGCATGGACCAGAGAGATGATACTGCTTCAGTCTGGGTGCAAGGTGATTACAGGACATGTCACACAGACCTGTAGCCACCATGTTCCCTCTAAATCTTGGGGAGCAAGAAACCCAGTGAAACTTGGGGGGTTTTCACAGAAAAAAAGAAACCCAGAACCAATGAGCAAGAACACTCATCCATTCAATAAATGTTAATAAATTCAGCAACTACCATATGCCAGCCTCTGTACTTGTGAGAAATACAAACCATAGAGTGGAGGGGGAGAAAAGCAAGTTCATCATTTTCGTGCATTCTGAAAAGAGGTCGAAAAAGGAAGATGACTTTTTGTGTGTGAGTGTTGTTGGAGTGCAGGAAGTGGGGAGGACATAGGTGGTGACATGGCCTAGGACCCAGAGATTCATTTCTTGCCTGATGCTTCACTGAGGCCAAGAGGCCATTTGTCAGACCCACTCATGTAAGATGATCCCTCAAATTGCATGAGTCTCTTAGAGCACATACACCCAGCAGCAGAATCCTTTGGAGGACTGCCATCTCATAAGCTTAACATGGCATTTTAGATTTGTTTGGAGCTATAAAAAATGGGTAAGTTTAATTAAATGTAATTAATTTTGTTATACAACATTTGAAATACCCTGAACATGAAAAGTCATCTCCATGCCTGTCAGAGTCTGCCAGGGGATGCAGATGTTCCTGGGAGGTGTGGGGAGGAAGCAGGGATGGGAGGTGGTGATGCAGGTAGAGGGGAAGGAGCCTGCAACCAATATTTGGAAACCTTGTTTCTTGTCCTTTAAGACCATTTTAACCAGAAATGTGATCACAGTGTGATTTTTCTTCGCCGGCCCCTGCTGATCAGACAGCCCAGGGCAGACATGCTTTATATAATACCCCGTGCCTGCTGAATCAGGAGTTGGCAGCCAACCCAAAGGCTAGCCATGAGCCCGCGAGAGAGGCTGGTACAAAAAGCTCTGTCCAAACAGGGACAAGTTGGGCAAATAATGTTCTTACTCTCAGAAACTGAAATTTAGGTAGTGAACAGGATAAGGTTAGGAGACAGACCAGGGAGCATGATAGGCAGAAAGTGAGCTCAGATTAGGAGTTAGGTAGGCACAGCTATGAGTGAACGAGAACTCTGGCAAAAATATAAAGAGCACATGGTGAGGGAGCCAGTTGGTCGTGGAACGTGAGGCAAATCCATGGGAAGTAGAGAATCTGGGCCAGAGCAGTGAAGACCTGCAGACCCCTCTTGCTGCGGTCTGAGATCCACACTGACCCTCTAAGGCTTGTCTCTGTGAGGCTTTACTTTCTTCTCGGTCCTATTAGATTCCTGTGCAAGTCTGTCTCCTTCACTTCCTGAGGTGGAAGACTCCATTGCCTCAACCAGTCTGAGTGAGTCTCTGGGGTTTCTGTACCCAGAAGAGCTTCAGTAAACTCTCCGAGTGCTCGCATGCCCTGCTGCTTAGACTTCAGTGTGCATGGCAGTCAAAGAGCTAATCCTGATCCGTGGCTCCGAGGAGGGGCCCGAGAGTCTGCCTTCCTTATAGGCTCCAGGTGACGGTGTGTCGTTGGCCCTTGGTCACGCTGGAGTAGCAAGGCACTAGTGGAATTCGGAGAGTTATTAAAATCATTATTCACAGATAGGGTTCTGTCAGAGTCCCAGCAGGCAACAGATGGTGCATACAAATTAGCATCGTTCTAAGGGGATTTAATAAACGGATTATTTACACAGGCCAGGGCAGGGTGTGAGGAAATCATACCTGAGGTTAGCCACCCAGATGTGTTCCCACTGCTCACCCTGAAGGAATGAGGGCAGAGGCGGGAAGGAGAGCCAGCCGGAGGTGACCACGTCGAACCAGCCCAGAGAACAAATCCCGGGACCTCGCTGTTGCCTCTCGAGCCCAAAGAGCAAGCTGCCCGTAGAGGTAAACGTGTGCGGTCACCCGGGACACGGAGCAAGGTGGAGAAGCGTAGGGGCCAACGGGAGAAACTGGTGCAGGGATGTGGGGCGGTCACAGATGGAAGCTTCGGGCGGGAGAACAGGAGACGCCGTCCCTTCCGCACTGCCGTGTGCCGGGCGCGGCTCCAGGGACTCGGCGCCCAGCGAGGCTGGCCCGCGGGCGCAGCAGCCTGGAAGACGCTGTCGGTAGGGAGGAGTGTGGCCAGCCAGCGAACGCGGGGTAAGGAGCGCAGGCGGGGACTGCGGTGGTGAAGGCCAGCCCGGCCTCTGGGGCGCCTGAAGTCTGAAGGGCAGGGGCTGCTTCCCAAGCGCGTTAGCAGCCCCTCGGCGGCGGGAGGCGGGTGAAGAGAACCGTCCATCCTGTGGTCCGGAGCCGCTAGAAAATTCAGGAGCGCTGGCCTGCGCCGGGCTTCAGGTGCGGCCATCCTAGCTTCACTGTCTCTGCTGCTCTCACCTCTTCCTCTCCAGTCTCCGAAACTTCTCCTCCCCCTTCATCTTGGCCAATGACCTTACTTCCGATTTTACTGAGAAAGTAGAAACAGTCCCGAGACTGTCCCCAAAGGGCCGCGCCCCACCCACCGACCCGCCTGGCGGGCCCCGTGCCTTCCCTCCTGCCGCTGGGGAGGGACTGTCCGCGCTCCGCCTGGGCCCACCCCCTGCGTGAGCTTGGTCCCCTCCCCTGCCTCCTCACGGATGTCTCTGCTGCCCGTGGGTCCTCCCTCCTCAGTATCATCACTCTTCCCTCCCGCCTGGGCTCTTCCCATCGCCAGTAGACGTACTGGGGGTGGGGGGTCTCCCACCTTCAACCAAAACCATCCCTTCCCAGCCACAGCGCCATTTCTCTCTTTCTCTCTTTGGTATATGGAACTCCTTGAAAGAGTCGTGTCTGCTCCGTCTATCCTTCCCTCCTTCCCAGTCCTTCGTGCTTCAAGGTACAATTGATACTGAATCAACTGCGCGTTTAAAGTACACGGTTTGAGAAATACTGACCTGTGCACATACCCCGACATGTGCATA